GCTGTCTGTTTTGGAGCAACATACCAAATATAGACATTCACAAAACAAAGATTCATCTTCAAGAATTTCTTGCCGCGAACTTTGACCGCCAAGCGTCGGTGGAGATACTTGGAACAATTAAGGTAAAAGTACCAGTACGTGAACACTTTCCAAAATTGCACCAGTAGATTGAACAGCTTGAATAAACTATTTTCAATTTAAGTGGATAAAAAAAAATGTTTCTGATATCTTTTGATCGTTCTTTAGATAAAACAAAATTTATATTTTATTAAGTCTTTATACTTAACGAGAAAAAAATTATTCATTCGTACAACTTGTATGAGGTGGCTTGTGATACTATTCAGGTACTGGTAATATTAGGTTTTATATATGCCCAGTACTAGAACACATAAAAACGATTGAAATCACTGTTAATCAAAAATAATAGTTTGTCAAGCCAGTCGTTATAGTTTTCATAATATGTTACCAATGAAATTAGAAATAAATTTTTCGATTTGTTTATTTGTAATATAGAATATAAATAGAAATTAGTGGAAGGCAGCTAACATAATCTCTTTCCCATTTAATTAACATGGGATGTTCGAGTACTTGGTCAAAAATACGTATCGGTACCAATACCTGAACACGCTGTTCATCTACTAGGTCATTGATAAAGAAACTTTAAAGTTAATTTGTTAATTAAATAGAAGTTTTTAAAAAGTGTTTTAATATTTTAGTGATTTCTACATAATTGTACAAAATTATCCTAAGAAGAGCTGAATACAAGAACATAACTCATACACTACTTATAATCTTCCGAATGAATTGTAAAAAATTTCTTTTAAAATTGAATACTAAGTTAAGTTGGTTTTATGTACAAAGAATGAAAGGGAATGTATTGTGTTATTAGTACATTATTGTAATACAAAACAATATATATATATTAACGATCTTAAGAAACAGCAGGTTATTATTTAAAATCGTTCTATTGAATATTTGCAAAGAAAAAAGTTTTTTTTTCACAAAAGTAAAGTCATGACACTTATTGATTTTAATTCATCAAAAGTAGTGTCAGAAATATTTATAGTTTCATTTTAATTTATAAGCTACCCCTCATGAATCATACATTTAAATTTTGGCGCCTGTAATTGCACATAGCGTGTGTACAGTGTATGGTTATAGTAGTATGTATAAAACATGTAGTAAACTTACACGGCATCTATAGTGGGGGTAGTTGGAAAAAAATTATTGAATTGCTTGTAGTAATATAGCGGTTTTGTTATTTCCACATATTCTTTCAAGCTTGGCAAAAAGTTTACAAACGATCTAGATCCATCTCGTTATTGCAAAATTTTTTGGAGCTGAGAAAATTTAAGTTTTAGAGATTCTCTCTTAAAAAAAACTGTTTTATCTATTAGGAGACATAGGCAAAGTGTGAAAGTTTTCTCAATCAACTTTGAAATCGTTGCTAAAAATTCTGCATTTTTTGGCAATTTTAGAATTTATTTACAGGCTTATTTGGAATCCGCTTTTAAAGAGAAAACGATCTTTATTGTGTTTTCACTGTAGTCTACTTTCACGTCATTTTATTAATTTGAAAATGATTATTACTGCTCCCGAACATCAGGAAAGGAATTACACTTCAAGTCACCAGATGAATGCCACTAAATTTTCTCACTCAATAATTAAATTCATTGTTGACAAACTTTGTGACATTTAATTACATTGCTTCATGCACCTCCGTAATCTGCAAGCAAGGAGGAATTGAATCGTACAGGCAGGATTCGATTCTGACCAAATCCAGCACTTAAGGTGGCTCCTCACTATGGATCTATAAAAAGAGTCTAGACACTGTAACACCGCTTTTAATTGGCTGTGGAGCTTCTTGGTTGGCTACTGCACCTGTCTGCTGCCTCTGTTCTTCAATGTAGCAGACGCCCTACTCTCCGTGACTAGCAGATATTCACTATTTTCACAAAATATCTCGAAAAATTCTATGGTAACATCCAAATAGCTGAATATCATTAGAAAAATTATGATTTCTTTTATCTGCTTCCCCGTTTTTTATTAAGGACTGCAGTACTTTTGTTGAGATATCGTATAACTTACGACAGTTACGACATACATTTTGCGAGCCTCCATAAGAGGCAAAGTTATAAAGTCGATTTTCAAGTTGCTTTTTTTCTAAAATTGCGGTGGTAACGTAGTCTGAAATTTTGGGAGAAGATTTATTGTACCTTGATGAACCATCCCTCAGAAGATCATAGCATTTTCAGTGTTATTCAGTGAGGAGCCACTTTAAAACAGAGGTTTTTATATCTCACTACCGCGCCTATTTTCGATTTTTTATTTTGCAAAAATTTCTCGCAAACTACGGATCCGCAAATAAAAATTCAAATGGAGAATAAATCTGCAAGTTAGGAGGAATCGTTTAAGCCTAGAATAGTTGCAAAATAACAATATATAGTATTCACAGGCATCAGCTTCTAAGATCTACGATGAAGTCATTTTTCTTTTCCCCAGCCGTCAGCACCGAAACTCGCTGCGTCATTATCAGACTAATTGGGACCCGGGTCTGGTCTGATCTTTGTTTTATGTGCGAGAAATTGGAAAGAGAATATAGCACTGAGAAGATGTCTGCAACTTGGTCTACCATGAGAAATGTAAAAGTGTGTATGTGTATAACAGCGAGAACTAGTATTGCAATACCGTTTCTTGTTTATATGGCTATAAAATTGTGTACAGAAAGTTAACACGAGATGAGAGCAACGAACGGGCGATTGTAAGTGAAGATGACACGTGACAGAGTTGATGAAAACTCGGAATGACGATTGGTGAGGCGCATAAGGATGTTGGAGGGGCAAACATGTCACCAGATCGCCCGCACCGCCACGAGGCCAGTCGGAGGGGCCGCCAGTACTATGTCCTCATATCACGCTCAACACGTTCGTTCTACTCGTTCTGATGGCATTAAAGGAGGATATCCTGGAGCAAATAGATTTAAAAGTCGAGTATGACCATTCGGAGAGGTTGATAGGAGCTATAGTGAATTGAGAAGGTTGAAGGCTTGGATGTAGAAAGCATCATCATCGCGGGCTTAAGTGCGAGAGGGGAGGACTATGAGAATGGGATATGGGCAGCGTAAGGCACGTGGGTTTTGAAGTTGTTTGAGGTGCAGGGCGAAATCGATTAGCAAGATAGGCAGGGCATTAGTGTCGTATAATATTGAATGCAAGACACTCGAGGTGGTACTAACGTCTACGTCGGGCCGAGAGCTAGCCCAGGTCCAGCTGTAGTCGAGTAACATGATCCGCTCTTGGAATGGTACCTACCACAAAACGAACGCAGGCATTGATAGCCCTCGGTATTTTCAGATCACGAGTGGCATCAAATCGAAAGAAAATAGCATAATCTAAGGTAAAAGTACCAGTACGTGAACACTTTCCAAAATTGCACCAGTAGATTGAACAGCTTGAATAAACTATTTTCAATTTAAGTGGATAAAAAAAAATGTTTCTGATATCTTTTGATCGTTCTTTAGATAAAACAAAATATATATTTCAGTAAGTCTTTATACTCAACGAGAAAAAAATTATTTATTCGTGCAACTTGTATGAGGTGGCTTATGAGACTGTTCAGGTACTGGTACTGAAATTAGAAAGAAATTTTTCGATTTGGTTATTTGCAATACATAATAAAAATAGAAATCAGTAGAAGGCAGCTAACATAACCTCTCTCCCATTTAATTAACATGGGATATTCAAGTACTCGGTCAAAAATACGTATCGGTACCAATACCTGAACACGCTGTTCATCTACTAGGTCATTGATAAAGAAACTTTAAAGTTAATTTGTTAATTGTATACGAAACCTAGAAAAACTTTTTTGTTTTCTTTTGATAGAAAAAAAATATAAACTTACTGGCGCAATGACTATTTTGTTGTTATGCAATTCAGAAATTCGATAAAAATGAGAAAACAAAGACTTTATGGAAAAAGTGTTCATGTACTGGTACTTTTACCTTAGATGTGGGAACGCTAGGGTTTCCATGCACAAACTGTGTGACAGGGTGTGCCGGTGGAATCTAAGGGAGTGTAGAGCGTGATGCACTCTCTGGTTAATTTTCTTTGTGTGTGGGATCCAATGTAGAGCGGGGGTGATAATGATGCCCAAGTTCATCGCCCCTTCTACTACGGGAATCAGTACACCATAGATATGAATGGGGATGAGCTGTGTTTGGCCGAGTCGCTAGTATCGAGGGCACGGAGTTACTTTCACGTTTGAAGTGCAGTGTCATTCTCGTCATTTTTTGTGTAAGTATCTATATGCGCGGCTTCGGGGCCGTCATGACCGTGACGCCATAAGTGTCTCAGGACAAGAAAACGCCTCATTAAAAGTCTTATTGCGTACTTTTAATTTAAGTCATATACTAACCATAACATGAATTCTGGAAATAGCCTCGACACCAGTGCTACCAACATTACTTGCCGTGGAGGTCAACGAAGCTTTTTTCATCTTGACTTGCTTATTTTCTTCCCAGATAGACTGAGCTATATTCTTCATCATTTCAAGCTTTTTGGGGTAAGCAAGATCACCAGGCGATGGTTTGTAGCCCACCACATCAGACTGTAGGTACAGATGGGCTCTGAACACAAGGCGCTCTTGCACATCGTGCAGCAGCTGCATACAGACATTTCCAAAGCCATGAAGCGGCTCGGCGTTACATGCTTGCTCATCCAACATCTCAATTTTTAGTATAGAACAAATTTCAGCTAGTGTCTCTAAATGATTGATGTGTATTATGCATGGCCTAAGGGTATCATAGAGAGCAGTGCATAAGCCTTCAGAAAAAGCACTCAAGGCGGCAGAGGGCTTGTTAAAGAACTGGTAGAATAGCCGATATTCTTCTATAGACATGTGTAACATAAAGGAGCACGAGTGACGCACTAAATTGCAATAGTCACCGTTGCAATTCGTCTTTATGGATAACAAGCTCTTTAGCACACTAGAGCTTAACACCAGTCCTCTGTGGCTCAGAAATTGTTGATGACACTCCACTAGTAGACTCTCAAATTCCAGACGTTTGCTAGACATTGCTTCAACAAGCTCTATAACTGGCTTTGCTTTTGGCAAAATTGATTGGAAGCGCCCATAGAAAAGCGCCATGGTAGCATCAGGACTCTTTAAAAAGCTTTCATTATCCTTGGGGTTAAAAATGTTGTTTGTTGCTTTGCTAAAGAGTGCGAAAATGTAATTTTGTATAAGGGCACAAGCCTTGGTCTGACAGTGGGTATACTGTGCTAAATAGCTGTTGCTTTCTCTGAATGTACTGTTGTGTTGCATGAAATCTATATTATCTTCTATCTTTTTTAGAAATTTAAAAAATGTTTGACTATTAACTACAAGAGTGGGGTCATTCAAATTAACCACAATTTGTTCAACTTCCTTACAATACTTTGTGTAAAGAGATACTTTCTCCACAAAGGCAATAAGCATTTCCTGATCAAAAATGAGTTGTTTACTGACTTCATGCAGAAAGTTAGTTTTTTTAGACATCTGATAGTATTGTTGTGACAGTCTAGAAAAGTTTAGTAACATGATTTCTATCTGCAAGCACAAGTCACTGCACTCTTCACTTCTGCACTGTAAATGCTCCAGGAAGGAAACATAATAAGTATCTTCCAAGTTTCTATGCTTTTTTTCCAAAGTAGAATAGCATATAAGCAACTGCTGGTAAATTCTTATGTTTCCTTTACTACTATTGCCTTGCCCAGGAACCAGAACGGGTAGATCCTGATAACAAAATACTTAAATTACATTTTGTTAAATTCAAACTAAACAGAAAAAAATAAGTATATCAATACCCAATGTTTATTTCTCATAGGTAACTCTTTGTAATGAACAGGATCTAGAGAAATGATCTCTTTTTCTAGAAAGGAGAACTTCAATTTTTGATCCCCAGATAGGGGAGCCAAATGATCATCTACTTTATCCCAACCAACAAGATTAGATGGAATATTGACAAAACCTGCCATAACTAGTTGTTAGGCAAAACTAAATATTCTCATACACATACACTCATTTTTCTTCACAAAATATTAGCACGTGACTCTGTAAAAGAAGTTTTCTTAAATCAGGTAAGATCAGGTAAGAACAGCTCTGCGAACTCCGCGAGCAACTTACTGATTTCGACTCGAAAAAAATACCCTAAACTGTGGAATCGTTAGCAACGTTTGCACCGACTTTGCAAAAACTGTCGGATCAATCACTTTCGTAAAAAAAAATAAATTTGATGCCGTCGTGCAAGAGACATAAAAAATATCTCTATCACTCTTTGAAGTGAGACTATGCTGACAAAATTGGTATCAATCATTTGCACTTCAATTGTCGTTCATGTTGAACAATTGTAAATTGTCATATTTTTATGTGTAGCTGGTAAAATAATTATTTTTGTCGAATGTGCGATGTTTTTTCATAGAGATATTACTAATTATTATAATTTACTATTCAAGCGCACGGTGGCTAAGACCGCTAGGTCGTGGATTGACACGCGGGGGACCCGAGATCGATTCCTCTTAATTTATCACATGTGATTTTTCACCACGCAATGCTCCTCGAAAGGGGTTTTAAGGCGCATAGACTTATAAGAAATAGACTGCTCGTTCATATGTGCATCGCTGAGAATGAGTAGAAAGAGAAACAACATCGAACGTGGATATCTGTCTCTCTCGCACGTTGCCAACGATGGGAGTCAGTATACTAAAGCCAGCTTATGCAACCTCCTCACCATTGCCAACGTGAAAGAGAGACAGATATACACGTTCGATGTTATGACTTTTTCTACGTGTGCTCGGTGTGCTTCGACGCCGTGCATAAGAACAAGCAGTCTGTATTTTTTGGCAGTCTCTTACAGACTTGTGAAGTTGGCGCCCGTAAATATTAAATATTAATATTTTGCACCCATTCAGGGCTTAAACGATTCCTCCTTACTTGCGGATTTATCCTCCACTTGAATTTTTATTTGCGAATCAATAGTTTGCGAGATATTTGCAAAATAAAAAGTCGAAAATGGGCGCGGCACTGAAGTATAAAAAACTTTGTTTTAAGTGCTAAATTGGGTTAAAATCCAATTCTACCTGTACGATTCGATTCCTCCTCATTTGCGGATTACGGAGGTATATAAATTAATGTAATTAAATGTCGCAAAGTTTGTAAATGATGAATTTAATTATTGAGTGAGAGAATCTAGTAACTTTTGGTCCAGTGCTCCGTTCCTGTTGTTCGGTACATGTCGCTTACTCCTTACAGCGGGTTCTACAAAATATTTATCGGAATAGAAAACTTTAGTAGGTATTAATCTATTAATTATCAGTTATAAGTTATTCAGCCTTCGGGTCAATACACACACACACACACACACACATTTTTTGATGACTATGCAATCTAGGGTAAACCCATTTAATAAACATTTTTTTAAATAAGTACTTGTTAATTTATTACTAGGGCTGTGTTTGCATAGGCTCCGTTTGTAGTATGTTAAGATCACGTGATCATTTATGATTAGTGCAAGTGAGAGGTGGATATCATGCTGTCTCCCTCGCACTTATAATAAATAATCACGTGACCTTAACAACCCTAATAACAAACAAAGACTTAGGCGAACACAGCATGTGTCACTTTGATCCGTTTCCACTGGTCGGTAACTTGATCTTCAATTTGCCTGATTGATCATTTACGCGCGAAATTTGAATGCTTGAGCCGTTTTCTAAAACTTGTCCAAACAAAATTATTACTTGTGTGCTTAGCTGTGGCTTGTCTTAGGATGATTATAGCTGTGCTACTACTTTTTAGTTGTGTTGTTATTTGTTTCTTGAATAACAACAAACATTAAAATTTCGCGCGTAATGAATAAATATCAGTCCACAGTATTTGCCACAACAGATTCCAGNAATGTATGTACGAGTCACATATAAAAATTAAAAAAGGTCTAACAACTCTTTTGCAAAATTAAAAAATGGCGAGTATATTTAAATAGTTGCTTTCACTGTAGATCCGGAAAGACATTTAGAATTAAGGCTGTGCAATAAAGAACATACAAAAAATTTTAATAAGTTACATGTGAAGATATGTGATTAATACAACAAATTGAAGAAACAGATGTAATAGTTTTTACAGAAGACATCAACAAGATTTGCGTAGTCGTTATAGTGTTAGATGTAATGTATTTATGCCCAGTACCAAACATTTTAAATTATTAATTATCAAAAAAACTGTATTAAACAAACAAAACCATGTGGTCTTGCGTTATAAACCAAGTGGTTTTGACTCACGTTACCACATATTTTTTCAAACAATATTGTTATAATTAAATCATGTGGTTTTTAAAATATATTTTATTGCTCAACAAAGTTTGAAAAATCACCTTATAACTTACGACAAATCCTTACATTTTATGAGATACAACCACTTTTTTCACTCAGCTTGTTATGCTAGGAAAATCAGTATAAATTGTTATGATACATCATATGTAATACACAATATGTGATAAAATTAGGGTACGAAACATGGGATAATGTAATGATCGTTCGTTATTACTTGTTTGAGAACAAAGTAGTAAATTTATTTATGAGTTATCCATCCTTTAACAGTCATCCAGTCCTGAACACGGTGTCATAAAAATACAAGTACTGTGACGACTCAGTCTCTCTAATTCTTCCAATTCTTCCTAATTGATTTTAGATGATTGAAATATTAATCAAATGGCAATGCTCTCTTGATCCTTCAATCATACATTGACTAATGAAATCTTGATTAATATTTATTTACTATGGTAATATTTAAAACTAGTCACGTGGTTTTATATTTCTGTTGTCGCCGCTATATTGGACTAAGCGTAGGGCCACTTAGTTATGTGTCCTCCATTTTTAAGCCCTACTATGTGACACCCATGTCATGGGAGTCGCAAAAACATATGTAATTCGCCATTTTGTATTGACCACTACATTGAATGGGAATTGGCGTTTCGCTTATTATCTTTATTAAACATAATATATATTTAACCCATTTATGTAACACATATTATTCGAGAGTGCATAAAAAAGAACCTAGTTTACCATATTGTGCCACGTGCCATATTATATTTCCAATGACGTCACACATTTTATTGTAGGAATAAAGCAGCTTTAGTTGATATCTACATAGGAGTAGTTGCGATAAATTAGACAATGTCCCCGTAACTACAACAAAACTAATTAATAGATGACGTTTTTTTTATCATCGAAAATTTTTGAAGTCTTGATGCATATGAGGTTGAAAAACTGAAAAAATTTTTTTTCAAACGTATAGCTTAAACGACTAGGAATTGTTTGAAATGAAAAAACAACAAGCTCCTTGGAGAACTGTTTTCAAAAATCTCAGGTGAGATCTTAGGTGGTTTTTCAGCTGAGTTTTTGGCATGAGATTTGACCTGATAAATCAGCTGAGAACTCTGGTGAGATCTCACCTGATTATTGAAGACAGGGATGTACAGGTGGGGTGTCAGATACCTTAATTACTTTGTATTTGAGTGAATCGTGAACATAAACAGCCACATCTCCAACACCCTTGGTAATCCGATCATGTCTAATTAAACGATATGCTGGTATATGAAACAAAGTGCTTGGTGTACTAGGATTGAGAAATGTTTCACTAATACCAAACACGGCCATGTTGCAGTCTTTGTTAAATAACGATTAATGTCATTTAAGTTTGTTTTCAGCTTCAAACCAAAAACTGTGGACTACAGTCTCACGCTCCTTCACAGGCTGCAGGACGGCAGATAGTCCAATTATTTGTTTGTTTAAAAAAAGAAGGAAGAAGTAGAGAGTTGAATATAATATTCAGGTTTACTTACCTTTCTTTTCACTAGAAACTAATACTGGCAATTTTGCTTTAATTACTAATTCAAATGACCAATTCGGATGACTTGTACTTCTTCTTTTCGTTGGATTTATAATTATTTATTTTATAATAACTTAAATTCTTTTTCTAATAACTCTTGTATCACTTTATTTTATGTTGCTTGTATATATATAAAAAGAAACAGAGAAAAGACGGAACGTCTGGTCAATCTTTTAAAATTAGTTATTAACGTCTGCACTTGATGAGCGGCAG